CAGGAAACACATAGAAAGTGCAAATATCCAGGCGATCATGTACTGATGCAAAGGTCTTCAGAATGGAGCCAGTAGAGAGGGGAAAATGGCAGGGCATGAGACCTATCTGCACTGTCCCTGACAAGCTGGTGACTCTGGGCAAGTGGTTTTCATCCTCCGGGCTCAGTTTCTTGAGCTATGGAACTAGGACTAGAGATGTCTGCCTGCTGGGTGCCTGCCACCGTCAAATCCGTCCACACCTTAGCTGCTCACAAGCTGGTGGCAGAAGAAACCACCCTGCTCTTGTAAGCAGACTCTGAAGGAGCCTAAGACCTCTATGCAAAGGGCCTCATGAACAGCGAGCACACAATAAAAGGAAGCGACCATATTTCAAACCCTAGACACATCAATCCTAACAGGCCTGTCCTTAATGGAGGCACTCAGCGCTCAAAATCATTGAAAGCACTGGAGGGTGAGCTCTAGGCTGGGCTTTCAGAACGAGCAGAGCAACACAGAACTGACCCGCTGGGACAATGCCTCTGCTACAGCCAGCCACCCGGGACTCAAGAAGCTACCAAAGATCTAGGTTCACGCAACTTAGCAAAGATCCAAATGATAAAGAAGCCACTGTCACTGTGGCTCAGGGACAAACTGGTGGCTCTGGAGCCACACCAGCAAGAACCCTGCTGGGATCTGAGCTGGTGATGCTGTGGAAACATCAATTCCAGGTGCTTTCCCAAAGCAGCAGCAGAGGCAGCAGAAGCAAGACCTCCGCCTAGCCCTGTTGAGTGACCCCCAGGGCCAAATGATCAGCAGACCCAGCTTCCCATCATAAACCCCTGCTACAGCAGAACCCAGAAGGGCGAGTCTCAGCCTGCAACGGCTATCATTTAGCAAAGCACGCTGGAGGATGAATGAGGACCCGGCCACCACACACACCCCACCGAGCGTCTACAAAGGACTTGGGGCTGTGCTGGCCACCTAACAAGCTTGAGCAAAAAGCACGAGCATGAAAAACAACACGCTTTCCTTGTTAGCTTGAGGAAGAATGAGTAAAAGCGAAGGCTAACCTGTCCCTTTTCTCCCGGGTGGCCTTCGTCCCCAGACAGGACCCTGTCCCACTGTTATCAGCCCAGCAATAACACAGATGGGTTTTTGAAGTTGCTGGATTGCGAAGCAGCCAAGAAAATGAAATTCCTAGATAAAGCAAACAAAAGAATGTTGTATTCAACCAAGGCAGCTGCCTTCTACAACCCTCACAGCAGATTCTCTGCAAAACAAATGTTTTTCCCACAAATACATTGCTTTTTTCAATGATTCATTAAGCCCTACAAATTTCAGAAACTTTCTGAAAGTTTTCCCTCTTGCTTCCCATCAACAATTTTAAGGCTTACAATGTCTGTTTCTTCAAGACAGCCAAAAGACCAATGCGATTCATCTCAGCAACATCTGCCCTAACCGCCTCCAAGTTGAGAGGGAGCAGTGGCAGGGGCCTAAATTGCTCACACACGGCCTCCTCAGGGACACAGCCATGAGGGCTCATCTGTGCACCGGTCCCTGTCACCTCCCTCACCTGACCCTGAGGAAGCCGCTAGCTCCCTAGACTCCCGTGTCCTCAGCTCTGGAAGGGGAGCTGAGCCTGTTTTCTCTACCAGCCCCTCAGACATTTAGGCGAATCCCTAAGTACAGATTGCATACAAATCCTAAATATTTTAAAGAAGTAAACTAATTTGCGCCACTCCAGCCCTCACTACACCACGGTAGTTTAAGCCCTTGTTATTCCCTCCATATTTTTATAAAACCTACTGAAGGGCCGGGGATTTAGCTCCATGGTTCCACCACCTGCCTCGCAAGTGCAAGGTCCCAAGTTTGATTCCCGGTACCAAAAATAAATAAATGAATGAATGAATGAATAAATAACCTACTGAAGCCTTACTATGGCTGGAAAAACCACACCGCATCTTTCTTTCTTACCTAAGAGACAGCATAACACCAGACACTAGGAGTGTCACCCCCACGTCCCAGTGTCCCCATGTCCCAGGGAGTCATGTAGTGGCCATGAGGCTCAAAGGACAGAGCTGGGTCTTGCTGCCAGAATAGGATTTGGATCTCTGCAACTGGTGTTAAGATCTTCCACTGGCTGCTCAATGTCTCTGAGCCACTGTCCTCATCCTCTTAGTGGGGACCGACAGAGTCCTGTCCATCAAGTGAAGAGGAAATACGTCATTAATTGTCCTGGCTGTTGTGGGCCACTACTCAGACCTCCCCTTTCCGAATGGAGGGAATTTTCCCTCAGCTGCCAAAAGCTATGGCTGTTGACAACTTCCACCTGAGGGAAAGAACGGACTTACTTTCACACCATGGATTTTCAGTTTGGAGTCACGAAAAGGCTCTGGAGATGGACAACGGTGACACTGCACAACCATGTGAATGCACCTGAGGCCACTGAATCACACTCAAAAATGGTCACAGCGAGGCTGGAGGCAGCTCAGTGGCGAGCCTTGCCTAGCACATGCAGGGCCCGGGGCTAGTGCCCAGCATGGCCAAAACAAGAGTGAAAAAGGCTAAAATGGTCAACATTGTATGCACATTTTTTAATTTAATTTTTAATTTAATTTTTAAGACAGCATCTCACTCCATTGCCCAGACTGATCTCAAATTCCCGAGCTCAGGTGATCCTTCCTGTCTCGGCCTTCCCAAGTGCTGGGCAGCAGTTCCACATCGCCACACCTGGCTGCATCACAATTTATTTTAGTACTGGGCATTGAACCCAAGGCATTCACACTGAGCCACACTCCCTTTCTTTAACTTTGAAACAGGTTCTCACTAAGTCACAAGTGGTCCAGGCTAGGCTCTAGATCACAATCCTCCTGCCTCAGCCTCCCAGAGCCTGGGATTACAGGCATGGGCCTCTGCACCAGACCTACATTACAACTTTCTAAATACAGAGTTAGCCACACAGTAAATAAACATTAACTATTACCACTGCTCTTAAGAGAGCTCAGGAGATGAATTTATTTATAGATGAATTTATTAACAGGTTAGCAATGTTGGTGAATAGATGTTATCTAAGCTAGGTTTAAATGGAGAGGTAAGATGGTCAACAGCGTTAGCAATGACTAAAATCAGCATTTTACAGACCAAAACTAGAAGCTAGGTGACAGGGGTCTGAAGATGCTTCTGTCAAAATTTAAAATAATAAATTAATAACTATTATGTGCCAGGCACAGGGATTATATCAATAAGAGATATAAACACTGCTCTCCGGGAGCTTATAATGCATAGAAGTCAAAAACACAGACGAGTATGAAAAATGAGTTGGTTCAAGCAACAACAAAAATGCCTCTTTTCATCTAACTCTGCATTTTACTGATGGTATTCAGCAGTTGATTCTGCTTTTAACAATTTAGATTTTACAGAATTCTAACTACATTTTAGATGTTTTCCTCTCTCTGTACTATTCTACTGTTCCCAATTCCTCCACCCCATTCTCCCTCCCCACTTCTCTCTTCTACAAAAAAACCTAAATGAGCCATTCAGTTTTACTGTGCAGTTCGTCCGAGTGGTAGAAATCTAATTAAGAAAAAAATTAAAAACTGAGTCACACAATGTGAAACCGCTAATATTGTAACAACGCTTAAACTCTTGTTTTAAAGACTTTTAAATATAAATCTGAGAAAGGCTGGGGATTTTGCTCAGTGGCACCACACCTGCCTCACAAGCACAAGGTCCTGAGTTTGATCCCCAGTACAAAAAAAAAAATCTGAGAGCTGTCTTTCACACTCGAAACCTAACAGCCAATCTAATCCAAATCAGCCTTTCTGTCTTAGTTACTTACTCAAATAGTAAAGTTTCACTTTATTTGGAAGTGAAACTTTTACACTGCTTTTAAAATATCCAAACTGTCATTACTTAATGTGAGACACTTAACATTTAATTCCCAAGTTTCACCTGACTGGACCAATATACAAGAGAACTTACTATTCAGCAACAAGAAAGAATGGACTACTGATGCTCAACCGGACCAATCTCAAAAACCTACTAAGTGGAAAAAAGGCGGCGTGCCCTAGAGGATTCCATGTACATGAATTCTAGAAAAGATAAGTCAAATCAATGGTTAAAAAAAAACAGGATCTTTGGCTGCCTACAGGTAGGGAAGAAGAACTGATTGGGAAAAGGGGTTCAAGGGAAGGAACTTCTGGGGCAATGGAATAAGTCTGCATCTTGATCATAACAGTTACATAGCTATAAATTTGTCAAGACTCAAGGAAACATACATCCAAATGGGTGCTTTTTAATGTATGTACACAGTACAACAATAAAGTTGATTATGACGTAAAATGACAGTACTTTTAATTAACAAGTGAAGATGAATATTTTCTTATTTTGAAAAAATTAACGTATTATGAATAAAGCTTTGACTACCTTCCAAATCTGGTTTCCACCCCAATCTCTCTCATTTATATCCCTCCTCCATAAGTAAGCTTTGTTAGGAGTTTGGTATTGATTGTTCTGAACTTTTAAAAATAAATTCACACACATATGCAGCCACAGGAAATGTACAGTACCGTTTGGTACACAGATCTAACACCCTTACATAACTTACTATCATCACTTTGTATCATGTTTCTGAGCTCTACCTACGTTAACACAAACTGAGGTTATCTCTTTAAGTCCGAACAGGAATCTCTGCCATGACCACACCACGGCAGGGTCAGCCAGGCCACGCCCTTTCAGAAGCTACTTAGATTTTCTCCCTGTCACAGTTTACCAGTGGAGCAATAAAGAATAACTACCTCTGGGTGGGTACAGGGACTGCAGATGGCGTTCCAAGCAGACTTCAGCACCTTATCTCCAAGGTTTAATTGTAGAATGAGAATATATCCATGTATAATTCATATATTTTAATTATTAACTTTTTTAAAAGAATGATACATAAATTACCGTGGTGGGACAAAAATCAGTAATAAGAAACTGCATATCTATTATGTATAAGGAAAACAAAGTTGTACAGCATAAAGTAAATGTATGATTTGAAGCATAAGTATTTATTGAAAAATAATGAGCACTAAACACATCATATAAACACACTGCTGTGCAAAGCAATTATAATTAAAATATCAGAATATTGGATGTTAATGACACAAGCATAATGAATTACACATACGAACATTCACTTATGTTTTTTGCTTTCTTCTTTTATGACTGTGATGTCTTTCCCCATCCCTGCAACGAAAGGGGTATAAAAAAGGCTTATAAATTATGTGTTAATATCAACACTAATTTAACAGTAATGTACTTTCATCAGACATAAGTCATGATGGTTTAAATGTGCAATTAGAACTGAATGGTAATTCTGGAAGAGTAAATAAAAACATCAATTATGAAAATTAAGAAAAAACTGAAATGGTAGTGAGCAAAATGAAGTCATACTTTGAAGTCCAGCTTTAAAATGAACTTTGAATAAAATAAAATGATAGACCAAGAACCAAGAGAGACTATGTAAAGGTGCAAATTTCCAATGATGAATGTCATTATATTGTATACCTAAAATGTACCAATTATTAGAATGAATAATCGATAATGTAAAACAGGAAGAAAAGGTCCAAAGGGGTAGGGGTAGTGGGAGGCACAGGGGAAAGGAAAGAAGGGAAAGGAAAAAATGATGAGAAATGGAAAAAATGGAAATAAAGTCTTTGTAAATAGGGAAGGGTGGAGGATGTGAAGGGAGGGCTAGGAATGGGGAAAAAATAAGAACCAAGATGCATTATGTAAAGGTACAATTCCCAATGAGAAATGTAATTGTGTTGTATACCTACAATGTACCAATGAGAGAATTTAATACAGAAAAATAAATAAATAAATAAAATAAAATGACAGACAACCAGAGAATTCATTTCAAATTGAGTATTAAGTCATGGGTGGGGAAAGAGCTCAGTGCTAGATGACACAGACTCACCTCTCTTTTCTCCTTCTCGACTCAGAGTTTTTATCCTTATCTTTATTTCTTTTCCGTTTATGTGGGCTCCTGCTCCGATCCCTTCTATGGCGTGAACTGTCAGCATCCAGATAGCTCCCACCAGACTGCCGTGAATCCACTGAGGCTGAGCGCCTTTCTTCATTCCTGAGACGCAGAAAGGAAGTGAACCAGCTGGTCCTCCACTGGTCTCCACTACACAGACACAGCAGCCAGTGACAGAGCGTCCACACTGCCCACATCCCCTGATAGTCCCCAGAGTAGGCAGTCCAACAACCACTATTATGTTTTCTTTTTAAACTATTTCAGTAACATGATTGTTACCCCAACTGTCTGCTTCCAAGCCTGACGACATCATAGAATAACTCTAGTAAAATTCTGAGTACAGATGACAATAAACAATAATCCTCCTGAATTACAGGACGCTAAGGGTCTCAAAAGTGCTACAATTTGACAAATATAGGTAATATTAAAAAGGTACTCTTTTGGGGCAGGAACACAGTTCAGTGGCAGAGCACTTGTTCATCATGCCCAAGGCCCTGGGTCTGATCCCCAGTACTGCAAAAAATAAATTAAAACAAAGGCAACATCTTTACCAATAAAGACAACGACATACTTTTCAGCATTGCCCTCTGCCTTTTCCTGCTCTTCTTGCCAGTGGTTACTGAGTTCTTCCATGTGCACATTTATGACATCCCGAATCACCTTGGGAGAAATAAGCACCAAATTTCAGACATGAAAGTTTTTCAAAAAACTGAGAAAACCATTGCTAACAATCAACCAAGAATTTACTGAGAGTCAAGAAGTCAAGGGGCGAGGATTTAGCTCAGTGGCGCCACCACCTGCCTTGAAAGCACAAGGTCCTGACTTCGATCCCCAGTACCAAAAAGAGAAGCCAAGGTGCCAGACTAAGTAAAAAGGCCTCAGGACAAGGGTGATCTCAGAGATGCTGCAGTTTTGTCTGCTGCATTTTCCCTGCCTCAGAGAAATTTCCAGTAGCTCCGAAGTGAAAAGGAACAATGTCTGCACTCCTCACTGAGGCCCTAAGAGCCCTGCTACCTCCCATCCCCACAGCAGGGGCCTGCCGAGCCTCATGGGGCAGCTCTCCAGAAGTCCCGAGCCACAGCTGCCCTGGATCACTCGGGAGTCTCTAAAAGCTCCTGCTCCCACCTGGAAAAGCCTACCCCCACCTCCTCTCTCCCACGGTCTCCTGTGGCAAACCTAAGACCCCAGTCTGACTCGGCACAGCGGCATGAACCCCCCCACTGACAGTCAAACTCCAGCCCCAGCACTACCTGGGCATGGAACCCACCCGGCACAGGTCTGCCACACAGGCAAGGGCCAAGCCGAAGGCCCGCCCTACTTCTCCCTTTCCTTCAAACCCTACCTTCTCTATGAAGCGAACTCTAATTTACCTTCCAAAAAGAGCCACTCCCTCCTCCCACACACTTATTTCAGCTTTGTTCCAGCACTGTATTTTGGAGCATCTGTTCCACTTGACTCTGTGAGCTCCTTGAGGGTGGGGTCTGGGCTCCATTTCTCTGCATACCACACGGCACTGTGTTACGCTCAGTAGCTAAATAGAGTATGTATGTAATGATTTTTGCATACAGTGAGGAATAGATAAAATGTTTCAAAAGCCACGACCAGATATGATACATCATACAGGATTTGTAAACACTGGAGTATTCACTGATGATGGATATCTGGGATCTGCTTTCAAAGTTACCAAGTGCAGGGCAGGGGGAGGTAGGCAGTGAGTGGAGGTATAAACAGCACAAAATAGCTGTATGCTGGTAACTGCTGAAGTCAGGTAATGGGTATGGAAGGCTATGCCATCTACTGTAGTGTATCTTTAAATATTTCCATAATAAAAAGTAAACCATAAAATTATAACGAACACCAGTGGCAACATGACTATGAGGTTATGCGACCAGACAAAAACCAAATGCTGAACCACCAAGTACGTGAGGGACCGTAAGAATCACCACGGTCACACAACATGGTCCCAGACTTCTAACGGGAGAGCTAATACAAGAAGAGCGTAAAATGCTGCACTGAGCTGTGCAGGGCACAGCATTTGGGATGGCTCAGTCAAGCAGCACACTTCATGCAAACAACAGCTCTTAAACTCAGCAAAGTCAAAATGGCAAAAAATACCGAAAGACTTTTAGAGCTAATAAATGAATTCAGCAATGCAACAGAGCATAAAATTAACATCATTAGCTTTACTGTCTACCAATAATATACTAGCAGAGAAAGAAATCAGGAAAAAAATTCTGTAAAGAAGTTGTACAATGTTAAAAAAATGCTTGCATTCAAGAAAGTAGTACTGTATCATGATAAGAGCATGCATTTCGGTTTCAGTCAGGTCTTAGCTTGAGGGTTTTTTTGGTACCAGGGATCAAACTCAGGTCCTTAGGCTTGCAGTGGAACCACTGAGCTAAATACCCGGCCAGCCTGAGTTTTGATTGTGCCATTTATCATTGGCTGTGTGACTTGGTCAGGGTCAGCTTTTTAGATTTTTTTTTCATTTTATAGTCATATAAACTTCACAGGGTTATTATGAGAACTTATTGAAATAATGCATGAGAACATGGAAATTTCCCAGTAAATATTAGCTGTTACGTTTTTGAGGCAGAAATCCTAATGTGCTTTTGTGTACTTTACTAACCATTCGGGCTTAAGAAGTCTCTGGTTATAAATTATCCATCAGTCTCTTGGTATTGATTTTCAGGTGTCATTTGATGTGTAGAGCTGATTGTTTTTTGATACATGAGAAATTTCTGTGCTGTCATAAAAAAAAAATCTAAAAAGCTCAACCTGACCAAGTCACACAACCAATGATAAACAGCACAATAAAAACTCAAGCTTTCTTGAACACAGGTATTTTTTATGATTGTGTAACTTCTTTATATAAGGTTTTTGTACACTGAAGCCCTTTGTCTGGTAGAGGGCGGGTCTGAAAAAGATGGGACAAACAACAATCAGGAACAGCCATCTTGAGGACACGTCCTTGGACACCTTCAAAGGGACCGAGGAAATCCACAGAACAGACTCAGAAAACCATCTACGGGAAATTTTTGTTCTCAACAAAGTTCTACGTGCTTATGTAAAACTTACCTCAGTATATGATTTCTTGGTTATATGAACATTCTTAGCTCTATAGGACTGGCGTCTTCTTTTATAATCTCTAACTTCTGCCAGAATTTCAAGGTAAGACTTTGGACTTTTCCGACTATTATCTAGTGAAAGAGTAAAATAAAATTATTATAGCTTAAGAGTTTTTAAATTCTTTAGAATTAACAGGTAGTCTAGCATGGTGGTGCACGCCTGTAAGCTTAGCTCTTGGGAGGCTAAGGCAGGAGGATCACTGTGAGTTCAAGGCCAGTCTGAGCTATATAGTGAGACCGTGTCTCCAAAACCCACAGGTAGAAACACCACAACCGTCCTATACTACAACATGTTTCAAGGTGGTATACCAGAACTTTCTAGAAACTCTTCCATCTGGGCTGTTTTATATCAGGTTTTTTTCCTCTAGCCATTAGTTGAACATAAGAAAGTTTAGGTCCCTAGATAAAAATAACAGCACACTTGGGCCAGGGATTTAGTTCAGTGGTACCTCGCCTGTCTTGCAAGTGCAAAGTCCTGATTTTGATCCCCGGTACCGGAAAAAAATGAATAAATAAATAACATCACAATTGTAAATAACCATTTTACAGAAGAAAGACGCTTAATATAAGTCATAGTAAAACTTCATGCACTGAATATCTCAATATATATGTCAATATCAGATGATACAAGCCATCTTGTCCCCATTCAAAATGGCATGATAATAAATCATCTTTACACTCACAAAACAGAATGACAGTAAGAAATGTGAAGTATGATATTTATCTCAAACCTTGATTGACTTTGGCAGCCAAGTCTACAAAGAGATCACTGTCGTTTTCAATGATTTGAGAATCAGAGCGCTTTTTCTTTGTTTCCTCAACAACAAAATCATAAAGGGCAAGACGATCTGCTTGGGTCAGATCACAAACAAACCGTTTGTGATTCAGAGGAACTTCAACAGGCAATGAAGAATACACTCCTAAAGTAAAAGAAAAGAAAAAAAAATCACAAGAATAAACAATACACAAAGCATTATAGGCTTAAAATCTACAACTTTAAACATGTGCTGCCCTAATGCAGTACTAACACAGTGTTTCACACACATAGTAATCCAGAAATAAACAAAATATCCATACATGTAATGTGATAAACAGCAAACAAGGACTATGCCGAAGCTATTATCCACAGAAAGGCTGTATCTTGGATGTTCATTATTCTTTCCAATAATGCTTAGACAAACCCTAGGAAGGGAGGCAATAATATCACAAAAAGCAATTTGCACATAAGAAAATCTTTTTCTCGGTGGGAAGGTGTTGAGACAGGGTCTTGATAATATAGACCAGGCCTGGGCCGGGGATTTAGCTCAGTGGTTTCGCCACCTGTGCAAGCACAAGGACTCGAGTTCGATCCCCAGTACCCAAAAAAAAATATATAGACCAGGCTGGCTTTGAACTCGCAAACCTCCTGCCTCAGCCTCCTGAGTGATAGAATTATAAACATGCATCACCACACCTGACAAGAAAAGCTTTTTTCTTTCCTTCCTTCCTTCCTTCCGTGTGTGTGTGTGTGTGTGTGTGTGTGTTGAGGTCTTGCTATGCTGCCAAGATTGACTCCTGAGCTCAAAGGATCCTCTTGCTTCAGCCTTCCGCTTAGCTCGAACTAGAGGTACGTACTGTCACACCCGGCTAAAAAAACTTTGGGTAGCAATTTTTTAAAGACTACCTATATTACAAACCTAGATATTACTTTCTGTGTATATACTTCTGCCATAAAAGCTGGAAAAAGTTTTTTCTACATAATATACATTGTAGTCCCTTCGAAGATAAATTATGGGAATATGAAAAATGGGTAAAAAATGACTTGCTTGAACTATCAAGTTAGGTGTTCAGTATTTGAAAAAAATTCCACTTGTGCAATGACTTACAGTTGGGGTCAAAAAAACAATTAAGTAGTAGAAATCCCAAACTTCCTCAGACAGATTAAACTGAACTCATTTTAATTTCCTAAGGAAAAAACGGAGTGGCTTAACCAAATTAATTAAGAACAGGTTACAGCAGTGCCCCCTGATAGTTACAGAACTTTTTAAAGTCTGCTCATTAATGAAAAAAAGTAAATACAATACCTTGATATGATGTATTAAAACACCGAAGAAAATTTTTGTTTTGAGATTCAAATGTTCTCAAAGAAATAAAGTGATTGTGACTGGAAATAAAGCAATTTAAAGCAATTCTTTCTAAACTTCATTATTCACTAACGCAAATAAAGAACATGAACTACTAAAGGAATCCTTCTAATGTTTGCTAGTATATCCTAAAGTAATTACTCAGTTCAAGGAACAGTGTAAAATCCGTAGCTCTTCCAGATACTTAAAGTCTTACTATGTTAACTTCTCAGGTAAGAGGGAAAAGAATTCAAATAAAAACATATTATGAACTAAGCATTTTAACGAGTGAGAGAGAGAGAAAGAGAGAAAGAGAGAGAAAGAGAGAACTTTATATTTCTCCATAAAGTAAGAGGAGAGCTACACTGAATCTAAGGTTGTGGCTATGGATAATGACACATGGTCATTTTTACTAGTCAAAAGGTTTAATTAGTTGGGAAGAAGAGTTCCCTTTCAAGTTAATCAATTTTATTCTAATGCTGGTAGGCACTAAGACAGGCCTTTTGATGAAACCAGGTGTCAAAACATTAAATTTTATAATATAAAATTAGCTTTGATACGCCTAATTAGTTTGAATACAGGCTATAAAAATTTGGGAGAAAAATACAAAGATTAGAAAACACTGCTATATTACAAACAAGCTCCTCATGAACATTTGTCTGTTAATCTTTAAACAATGAAATATAATTTCCCCAAAATATTTTGGAGTTTTCTTTATCTTAAGTTGGTGTTATTGTAAAGAATGATGTTTAGACTACTTAAAATTCAACAAAATTTCAAATCAAGACTATAATGTTGTGACAGCTAGTAAGATAGAAGTTGAGAAGTTCGAGTAATACTTTTAAAAGGATATCATTTGCAAAAAGGATACTGCATATCTTTAAATAAGGAGTACATTCAGGTTCCTAATTCCTCTTTATACTCACCCCAATTACTGAAAAAGAAAAAGTACAGGAAAAGTTAAGCAAAAAACTGCATTCAAGTCTTTCAGAACATAAGATAATTCTGACAGAAAAAAGAATAAATACACTTAAATAAGCTACATTTACATAAAATGTAAATTTTCAAAATCCAAGTTTCTTCATGATATATGTGCCGCATTTGTTATAATTCTGTGTCCCTCTTGATTGCAGCTTTTAAAAAAATTGTGGTAAAATAGAAATAACATAAAACTCACCCTCTGAGTCATTTTAAGCATATGGTTCAGAGGCACTACGTACATTCATGTTGCTATGCAACCTTCACCTCCATCTTCAGTGTCTCATCACCCCAAAAGGAAGCAAGCCCTAATCGACTTTTTTATTAACTAATTCTCACACCCCTTTTTTAGTCACTTTTGCCATCAAAGGATACCTTAAATATGACCTACAATATTAAATATTGGTAAAAGGCGCCGTCTCAAAGTTACAAATTCACACAGCAACAATCCCTAACATTAGAGATAAAGAGATTAAGGTCCAGAGAAGTAAAATGAGTTTCTCCAAGTCTCACCAGTGGTGAGAAGAGATCTGGTCTACAGCCATCCTATCCTCTCTTATTTTCAGTCTACTGAATTTTTAAATCATGGCCACGTTTTAAACACACTTCATTAAATTTAGGAATAGCCACCTGATTATTTAATATTGGAGGAAAATGATAAACCAGTAAACATAAAATTGTTTATTACTGAAATTGGTGTCTTGGTGTAAAATTAAGTAATTAAATATATCTAAAAGTAAGTACGTAGATCTAATGGCTGTTCAAGTTTGTACAAAGGTTAACAGGTTAAGAATTCTATGCACTGAGGTTAGGCCTAAAACTAATGAAGTGAAAACACACATAACCTCATCAAAAAATTTACATTTTCCTGTATATTCAGCAAAATATTAATTAGATGGAGAAATGCAAAGTTTTTCACATTAGTCCTCCTCCCTTCAAAGTAGTAACTTTTTTACTCAAAGTAAATTAAAAGATATTTTAAAAGATTCTCATCCCAATGCCAAAGGTCTAAAATTATCTGACATAAGTGGATCACAAAAATAATCTGTTGGGAAATTACAGAACTGTATATAGGACATAAAAACATTTTTTTAAAAGGGTTATAGTTATTCTGGTAATAACAATGGAATCTTAATTTAAGGGAGTATAAGAGTCCAAAATCAAAGTTCTAGGACCAGGGAGTAAGCTCAGTGGTGTTGCTGCCTGGCCCACAAGCGCAAGGTCCTGAGTTCGATCCACAATACCAAAAAAAAAAAAGAAAACAAGGGCCGGGGATTTAGCTCAGTGGTTTCGCCGCCTGCTGCGCAAGCGCAAGGACCCAAGTTTGATCCCCAGTACCAAAAAAAAAAAACAAAAACAAAATCAAAGCTCTTCTTCACTATCTACTGAAAAAACTATTCAAAGTAATTATTTTCCTTTACAATGAACTAAATTCAATATCTAAATTTACCTTATTAATCAGGTATATAAATTTATGACCCTACAACATTTCCTAAGTCATTCAAATATATAAAACTCTCACATTTCACTGTTTTAATATTGTTTTCTGTACATTTATTTTCAACAATCACTGTAGCTAGGGCTAGTTTAGCATTTATCATCTCTGTTCCTCTAAACAATCCTATAAGAAAATTTGTATTACAGATAGAAAAATTCAAAGAAGTCGTCATTTATACAAGGCTAAGTAGCTAGCTTATTTCTTTAGAACAGGCTTTTCAAAATGAATGAACAATGAACACTGACAGGAATATGTACCGATGTCTGTAATATTCTTCTGCTTAATCATGATAGAAAAATAATGAATACATTTTACCGGTATCCAGAATCCCAGTGTATGAATTTCACAAAATGCAGCGTTTTTAACCCAAATTAAAACAACTCAGTCCAGACTTTATGCGAAGTTCAGAATCTGGTTCTGGATCAGCGTTGCTATTATTATCCAGCAGAGATGAGTTATACCCCTTTTGTGAGCCTGTTTCTTCACCATATAATAAGAAGAAAATACCTTTCTCACCTACCACAAGTTTGTTGTGAAAGAGAAATGAAATACATAAAAGAGCTCTGAAAAAAGAAACCTTTTCAAAAATAAAAGGACTGAAGACTTTGAGAATAAACACACCAGAACTTCATCTTATCTCAATCAGTGTCTTCCCTCTCTGTAAAATGCAGGCACTGGGTTAGACGATCAGCTCCATGGATGTGGCTAACCAGCTAAGAGTGGAGCTGGAATTAAGCTGACAGGCACAAAAGTGGGAGCTTCAAGACAGATCCAAGAAAGAAGTTTCTGGCTGCTGAAGGAAAGCAAGGTAACCGAAACAGGGCAAGAGGAAGATGGAGGCCTTCTGAAGCCTCACAAAGATCAGGGAAATCAAGACCAGATTCTGGCTTAGAATTATGTTTGGTGAAGATCCTGAACTTCAGAAAGGCAGGAAACCAACCATGACTACAGCCTCATGAGCATCAGGATATAAAGGTAACTAGTGTCCAGAGAAAGCCACCCACAAAAGGTTCGAGATGCCAACTCAGAAACCCTTGTAAGAGGAACCAGTCATGCTCTGGCTGAATGTCAAATCCAGGTCCGGAAATCCAAACTCTTCTGTTAACTATTCACTTCTGTCTGACAGATTAAGTTTTCTTTCAATGTCCTAAAAGTTTATGCTTCTGTTTTTAGCCTAGTATCTGTTGAAGTCCGGGTCATAAACTCTTGAACCTAGCTCTAAAACTGGACATGAAGAAATTCACAGAGCCTCTAAGACGAGATGGAACACATTACGCTGGGGCTTGCTTCCTGAGGAGGGATCCTCAGAACTCATCAGCAATCTTACTTCCTAGGTAATTCCAAAGCGTGCACCACTAATTAACAGTGACTGAGGGAGGCTGGTGAACACATAACGAAGGTGAAAAAAGCAAATTAGCCCAGTGTTAAACGTAAAGCTTAACCTTTCCCATGTAACTCTTTTCACAAAGTTTTTCATGAAGAAAAAATTTAGTAACATGTCCTTGGGGGAGAAAAAGAATTTTATTCATTAATTAGCTCAAACTCTGATGGCACTTACTTTGATTGTAACAATCACCATCTTTTCCAACTGTGGTTCTAGCTTGATTAATGATATGGAATTGTGACTCCTTATCTGCAAAAACAAAACAAAACAAAACAAAAAAACCTCAAATATATTATGAATCAACAGTGTCCACTAGTTTCCAATCCGAGGTCTCCAGACACACTGACAAATCTTCCAGAATCACCAATGCCTACATAATGTAAATAAAGAATTCTTTTACATCTACCTAGAGCCCAAGAAGTGATAAGACTTCAAGCACTTCAGAAAACACTATACTCAGGGCTGGGGGTTGAGCTCAATAGTCTATTGTTTTCCTAGCGTGCCAGAGAACTTGGGTTTAATCCCAAGTACAAAAAAAAAAAAACAAAAATCCAAAAAGAAAAAGCAAACAAAACACCACACTATAATCAGGTATGCAGGAGCAGCAGCTACAAACTTTACTAATATCTAACATTTCTTCTAGTTCAGCTAAGTGTCCGGCACTATTCTATGTATATTACAAACATAATTAATCCTCACAATACATTATTATCATGATCCCCATTTTTTAAAAAAATGTAGACAATAAAAAGGGTAATTACCTTGTGAAAGTCACAAGGTCAAAACCAGTAACTAAATCCGGGCATTGTGCTTTTAAAACCCGAGATTTTGACCTCTAGCCACACTGCGAATATCTGGAACAATTTCCATGCTCACTCTCATTTTCAGTGTATGCTGGGTGCTCAGATTCTGTTACAATCAAGGAGGAAGGCATCTACTTCACAGGGTTTTCATTGCCTATTATATAAGCTTGGTCTTTAAATTTCAGATTACACGAACTAGTTTCACAGTACTTTAATGTAGGATTCTACATTCTCTGAAGGCGCTAAATATCTTTCCTAATCATAAGCATGTTTATAAAATCCATTCTTTTGATAATTCAAAAATGAAAACCTAACACCCATACTAAAATACTTTTAAATTATAATCTAACAACGTAATACTTACTCAAAGTAATTGAAGGTACCTTGGCATTCTCATAGAAAAAATCAGGATTATATATTTCATCCTAAACAAGTAAAAAAAAAACATTGTTCTTCAGGATCAGATAACTATTTTAAGAGTTGATATAAACTAACAATAAATTAGTATCTTTAAGTATTTCTCACAATAATTTGTGAAATTAGGCAAGTAACATCCTACCCTACAAATAAGGGTTATTGTTTTGTATCAGAAAACCTCACAATACACCTTTGAAATATTGTGAATTAATGCATGAATTACATGACATATATGTAATATAGTAAATATATGCTACCTCTTCTTCTTTAGTATAGCCCATTTTCCTCAATCTGCAGGATTCCATGTGCTTTAATAAAGATGATTTGGGCATGTGATGATTAGAATCATAAGGACATATCACAACTTCACCCTATAAAAAACAGAAGCAAAGAAAACGGTACACAATAGTTTACAAATAATTTTACCATTAAATGTTTACTATCTGAGTAAGCCAAATACTATCTGCTGCTTCCTCTTTTGCAGGTCTCTCTCAACTCCCATACAAGTGTGTTTGTGTTTAAAACAAAACAAACCTCCCTTAAACTCCGTCCCAGTTTTTGCACTCTCTCCACCTTGCCAAAGCCTAACTCTTTGAAAGATGTGATTACACTCAAGTCTCAAGGACCTCATTCAAGGCCACTGTCACTTCACTGATACCCACCAGTTTGTCACTTGCACCAAAGAACATGTCACAATCCTTACAATACTGAACTCACAAGTCACCTATCCATTTCCTCCACCCTGACACACCTTCCACGTCCTTTCTACAGCGTTGGCTCTTTTCCCTTGGTCTCTGGTACTCGGTTCCCCCCTTCTGTACTTGTCCTCCTTCATATGCTGATGTTTTCTGTGAGTCAAACTAGCAATGAATTCAATACTAACAAAAAGTAAATTCATCATATTTGGGGTCTTCTAACCCCTAAATTTGTTCCTTCTGTGTCTTCCTATTTGGCTGAAAGGTTCCCCCCACTCAAACAAACTGCCTCTTGTCCCTCATCACCTCATCCAATAAATCACCTGGTCCTGTCAAATTAACTCCTAAATCTATCTGATCTCCTCCACATACACAGTCTATCCTCATCATCTTATCGCTTCTGAATTCCAACAGCCATCTCCTCAGCATTCTCTCTCTGTTCCGGTCTTGCCCACACCGCTGCTAGGTGGAAACCCCAGCTCTGCCACTTACAGGCTGTATGAAACTGGGCAGGGTACTTAACTGCGCTTTGCCTCAGTTTCTTCATCTATAAAATGGAAATAGCTCACAAAGCCATCACAAAGACTAAGTAAACCATATATGACTTCATATACATAAAGCAATGTGAATAAGGCCCAGAACATAGGAAGTGTTCAATAAGTATAAGCAGATATTATTTTTATTAAAAGGCAAGTATGATTTTGATATGCCTTGGCTTAAACTATTTCTGTGCCTCCCCATTGCCCTTATTAAAAAAAAATCGAGACTGTCAAATCTGGAGAAAAAGGCATCACCAAGAAATCAGCTCTACGAGGACAGAAACAGCCACTGTGGTTCACTAAACTTTAGTGTCACAACAACAAAGAAAATGGAGATTCATTAACTACCTGGATTGCCATCTATTCTAGGAATTATGTCACTAACCAGGATTTCTAACTAGTCACTCTCTTGAATATCAGATACAAGAGTTGCAAAAGTTAGATGTATTCACACAGCTTACTGTCAAAATTTGGGAATTTTAAAAAATAAATTTTATTTTATCCCATTCCACCCCCCCATAACCCCTCCCCTCCCTATGTACAAAAGCTTTGTTTAAAATTTGGAAATTTTACAAGGATCTTTAGAAAAGCAGCACAGCCATTAAGCACACACTCTTAGGAGCCAGAAAGCCTGGGTTCAAATCCTACCTGCCATTTAGTTATTGTGTGTTCATACACAAGTTACCACCTCTGTTGTTTGTTTCCTCCTCTATAAAATGTTGCCAACAGTACTCACCTCATAGGATTATTGTATTAAGTGAGGTAATGTACAGTAAACGGCATACACAAAGTGCCAGTTAAGTGTTAATACAAAGAATCCAGTTCTCCTGCAATACTCTACCGAGTAAACAACTGTATGAAAGCTGTCAAGCCTCACTGAATGGCTAAAAATACCCCTCTACATGAACAATGAAGTCTTTTGTTTTTTAATTTCCACTGTGGTTTTAACACAATAAATAGTGAACGAAATTTATTTTAAACGCCTCTGTGGAAACCAGACATGCGACTTAAAACCAGGAGAGATTATTACAGTGTAGTACACTCTAAGGAAACATACGCAATTATCCCACAACGGGGCACGCCTCTCCATCCTACCCCACCAAAAGCAAAGACAAAACGAAAATCCCTCCAATACACTTGTTTATATATTTTTTAATAATTCTACGGTTCAACTGAGTGCTGCTAGTTACCGTTTCTTAGTGGCATCTTTAATAATTCCAGAATCTATGCTGCCGCAGCCATAAGTGTCCAATTTTAGGATAGAAAGAGGTGCACTGGTGAACTCCCAGCTCTCAGGATCCGACATCTGGCGTGATGGCGGAATTCTTACGACACATGACAAAGCAAACCGCCCACCCTCTAAGCGCAGCACTTGACGCCCATTGGCTTATATTTTAAATAAAGACCTTCTTCACCCACATCTCCCTATTTTCCTGACACCCCAAGTTAGTGTCACACGGTGGGGCGTCCTGGCGGCCGCGAGATCCCCGGCACTCCAGGCCACCCCGGTTCCGGGCGCCCGGCGCGGATCTCCCAGCCGCCCGACCACAGGCCTGGAAGGTCCGCAACCCTCACCTTGGCCGCCTCCTCCTCCCCAGGGTCCAGCTGATCCAGACTCCAGCCCAGGGACGCCGTCACCTCCCCCAGCGTCCGGTAGCAGCCCTCCACGAACTCGCTCAGCTCCTCCTGCAGCCGCCGCCGCTCCTCCACCGGAGGTGGCTCGTCCTCCATAGCTGCTGCCTAGCCGCTGGCAGGAAGGGGAGGGACGCTGGGCTCGCGAGGGCCTCTGGGAGGTGTGGGCGGGGCCTCATCGTCACGTGACTGGATCAGCCTATAGGGAAGGACCCCGGCGAGGGCGGACGCTGTCATTTTCGAAGGCGTTTTCCAGTGTCTTCGGAACCTCGCTTCCTAGCAGCTGCTCCTGCGTGCTTTTGCCCCTGTCTTCCCTGAATGGGATTCTCCTCCCCGTCGACATTTTTGTAAATTATTTATATCGATAGAAAACTTTAGATAGTTCAAGGAACGTTCGTATCGCTGTCCTCCAGCTCATTAATTAACGTTTTGCCACATCTGATTTCTCTAAGTCTCCTCTCCCCAAAGATAAATTTTTTTTTGCTGAATTCTTTGCAAATAAGTTGCAGATTCTTTGCCCCAAAATATATCTTCAGAACATTTTCCTATGTAACTGTAACGCATGATCAAACGTAAGAAAATTCCATTAAATCTAATATATGGTTCCAATTCTCCCATTCATCCCCCAATCCTTTTATCACAGTTTTATTATTTTTAACCCATAAAATAAACGGTTGTCTCTTTTAATCTAGAACAGTCTCACCTACTCTCGACAGTTACTGAATTTTGCGATGCGCTTAAACCAGTTGTCTTGTAGAATATCCTTCATTCTGCATTACATCCCTCCACCACTACAATTAGTTTAAACAATTTTGCAAGAATACTACGTAACAGATGTGTACCTTTTATTACATGCTAAAGAGAAATATATCTTATTCTCCTTGTAAAGCTAAATTTGATCACCTGGTAAGGTTGGTGGCTAAAGTGCTCATTGTAATGATATATTTTCCTCTTAGTAATTGGTGGTCTGTGGGCATACCTTGACATACCTTGAAACCGTAAGAATATTATGATCCCCAACTACCTCATATATCCTTTACTGAATCATTTATTACAAGTTATAAATGTGATTCCCTTACAGTATGATGCTTGCTACATTTATTAGCTGGCATTCTTTCCACATATTTTATTATTTCACCGTGGAATCAAGGAGTTCAAAATTTAAGGTTTTTAAGTGTACATGCTGCATTCTCATCATTACTCTTGTTGAAACTCAACTTGTGTTCAATTTGGCCAGTAGCAGCCTCATGAAGCCACCCCTGGGTGTCTCTGATGTATACCTGTTCGTCTTTCACTGATTTGCTTTGCCCGTGCTTATGTTGTTCTAGTTCCCTCTCAAGACCTGGAATAGCTCTTTTAAGTTTTTCCAAATAGTTTTCACTCCCAGGATCTACTCTCTTTTATATTGTTATTGTCAGATCAAATCTGTGCTTCCCTTTGCATTTTGTTTACCCATGACTGACGGGTGGAGGACATTATTGTGAACAATTATTTCCAAAGGCAAGCAGCATAGTTCTGGCCTTTGAAAAACATTGTAGATAGGCAGCACCATGAAACACAGGAATGGCCAGCACCTGAGGGGCAAGGAATGAGTTCCACAGTAATTTGTTTGTACACTTCCCTCGGTATCTTTGATTTTTGTTGGCATTTCCATAGTTAGTCATGTCATCTGGAAAATGTGAAACCAATTTTTGGATACTCCTGATAACTCTGGTTGAAAGCTACCTGTATTCTTTTCTTGAGTGGTTGCACCATGTATGTGAAACAAAACTCAGCTCAGGTCAGGCATGTCCTCTCTCCAGGACACAGCCCCATCTTGTCTCAGAGCTGAGGGACAACTTGGACAGGAGCTTAGAGGGGGCAGGAAAAATGTGTACCCCTCTCTAGTTCCTGTTTTAACCTGGGGACTGCTGTACATGGGTGCTATTGATCTTTTTAATCATCACTTTCCTGGAGAGGTGTCTAAACCTGTTTTAGGTTAGACCCTTGTTCTAGACTGACTTGGATCCCTCCAAAGTTCCTGTGCTGAAATCCTAACCCACAATGTGAATGCATTTGGAGATGGACCTTTAAGGTCAATGCTAAACAAGGTCATGAAGGAGGGGCCCTAACCTGATAAAACAGATGTCTTTACCAGAGACCAGAACTGTCCCTCTCCTCTCCACTTAGGCAGAGAAAAAGCCATGTGAGCACACATTAAAGAAGTGGCCACACACAGACCCGGAGGAGAGGTCTCACCAGAAGTCAGCCCTACCAACACCTTGACCTTGAACTTCCAGCCTCCACAACTGTTGAGAAAATTTGTGTCTTTACGCCACAGTCTGGAGTCTTGCTATGGCACCTGAGGTGACTAAGACAGTTTCCCAACTCTAGCCTAGGAATTCTCATACCCCACTCCCACTTCCCACCTACAGCATGTTTTTCTTCTTCCTTCTAGATTACACAGGCTAGGGCCTGGGGATGTACCTCAGTGGTGCTATGCCTCCCAGGCAAGCACGAGGTCCTGAGTTCAATCCCCGGTTGTGAAGAAAAAAAAAAATTACTCGGGTTATTTTTGTACAGTGCTATTTCTAGCAGGGAATCCATGGCTTATGGTACACATAACTCAATGACTTAATGAATAAAATTAATTTTGAGTCCTAAAAACTGGGAGATGGAGCAAAAGGGAGAAAAGAGGTGACATAAGAAATGTGTGTCGTGAGGAAAGTGGCCTATCCAAGTCCCCAATAACTTTGGTACCTGATGCTGATAGTTCTAATTCTATGTCTACCATTTCGCTTGTCTTCTAATTTTCTACCTGTACTCTAAGGTTTAGTTCTGTTAATACATACTGTTGTCCCACTGGTTGCTTTATGTCTTCTATCCCCACCCAGACTGCAAATTCCTTGCAGTCAGAAAGCTGGTAAATTCTACTCACTCTTGCAATACCTAGCCCAATACCTTTCCTAAATGGTATTCCATAATCATACTGATTTAATGACTGAATTTCAGTCGCTTCCTTTTGAGCCAAAGGAACCAGCTTATATTTCATTGTCCTTCAACACAGAGCTAAGAGCCCTTCAAGGATCATGTTCATAGATCCAAGAACAACTCTTTCCTCTTAGGGGGCAAAAAAGCACTACCTACTTTGAGGATATCAAAAAAAGAAAAATCTTAACCACCTGATGATTTTTCAGGGTTATGACAGTGACCTTTGCCAATGTTTTCTGCTACACGCCAGAATTGGCCAGAACAGAGTTTTGACCTCTGGAATAGCTATTTCCATGGGTGTCTAAGAACTCTGCCTTGTGTGCAACAGGTGAAGTGTTGAAAGCACTACCTTCAGAAGACCACCTTTAATGAGAATTATAAGCCATAATAGTATTTTAATGGCTTTTTTTGGCATTGAAATATTTAGAAACAAATAGTTTTAGACATATGATAAAGAAAAAGCTGCTACGATGTGCACTTGCATGTATAAACATATTAAATCAAAACACAAATATGTCCAAAGTCTAAAAATTTATTGCCAGAACAGCAAATTTCATAAAGACACCTTTTTAAAGTACATAGAAAATGACAAGCAAAATAAACAGAAAACTTTGACCAAAGAAAAGCAAAGATTACTGCTATCATGCACATATAGTCAAATTAATACCAGACCAAACAACTGCATTAAAGAATATATGGGTTATACAATCCATGCTTTTTCACCTAAAGGAAACACATTCCAAAATACTTGGGTTTAGGGCAGGGTTTTTTGGCAGGTGTATGGATAATTTTCTCCTAATGCAGAAAACAGAAATATTTAGATGAAAAACAGAATGATGACTGAAATATCAGATTGCTTTAATTTTTATCTCCAGGATAGACATCTCCAAGATAGAAATCTGTCTTATAGGCCCCCCAAAAACTCAAAAAAAACTAAACACAGAAGACAAAAAACAAATTCTAAATTCAATATTTGCTATCCTTACAAGTGATCACCTCTTCGTTTAACTACATCAAAGAGGACTGCATTAGTTAAGATAAGCTAAAAAGATAAAAAGCCAGAAAACCTTTACTATTCTATTCCTACCACGGCTATGTGTTAAGCACAGAAAGTTCTATTCACTATACCGCAAGCACCAAGTTTTCCTTTTAAACTAGAAACTCATATAAATGAATCCAAGGTATAGCAACCATTTGCCGCTGACTACTAGTGGCCAATTGAGCTACTGCTAAATGAGTAGGAGTATGAGTAGGAAGAATTTCCCGTGGCATCGAAGCTTCCTCTCCGGGACCCACTGCGGGAACCAGAGCGGGAACCGGAGCGGGAGCCGGAGCGGGAGCCGGAGCGGGAGCCAGAGCGGGAGCCTGGAGCCGAAGACATGTTGTAAGGGCTAGGTAAGCCCTTGGAGGACACCGAGGCAGCTTCCAGGAGGCGTAGCCCAGTGATATCCTCCACCATGGAGCGATTCATGGCATCCTTGTAGGATATCTTTAATTTGGTCTTGGGGCAGGTCAGGATTTTGGCATAGCTGCTGGTGTCTTGCAGCCTCTGTGCTGCTCGGCCATCGATGAAGCCTTTTCTGATGGCTTCTTCAGTGCTTATCCTCCCGTGCACTTCTGGGTCAACGAGACCACCAGTGAGGAACTGGAACTCCAGGAAGCGCTGGCCTGCCTCATACGGGAGCCACTTTTCTTTCACCGCTTCTGCTGCTGACATCTTCTTCTTGCCTTTCACGCCTTCAAAGCCAATGAAGGCTTTCTGAGCAGGCTTCAGCCTGGTAGCCATGTCTGAATCAATCAGACCCTGGGCCATCGCATCCTGAAGCGAAAGCTTCTGCCCAGTGGTAGGGTGGATGATGCCGCCCGTGCAGGCCTGAGCCTCCAGAAGCCTCTGCCCGGTGATGCTATCAACAATGCCCCGATCTATAGCTTCTGAGACGGAGATTTTCTCCAGGTTTTCAGTGTCAAAGATGGCTGCAATAGGGCTCGATTCTTCCAGGGGGTCAGACAGAGAACTGCTCCTGATGGTTAGATTCCTGACGCTGGAGATAGTGGAAATCTTACTTACTGATTCGTGTCGGGAGCTGCTAAAAACATCATCGCTGACACCACTGCCCATGCTGATGCTACTACCGACACCGTTTTTCAAGGAGATCATGTCAGCAAACTGGGTGAGGCTAAGGCT